GCTGACCATTAAGAGCCAATATCTGAGGAATTTTGAGTCAACAACATAGATTTTTAAAACTATTTTTGAGAAGGCTTTAGATCGTCGATAGTTTGAATTGTTTCTCTAAAGAGAAGAAGCCACAAAGTTTTTTTTTTTAACATTCATAAATTTTGAAATATTTTTTTAGACCCTTCTAACACAGCAACGTCGATTACGAGCAAATTTTTTGAAGACCCTGCTGATTAAACGTTAATTCTTAATTTTTAATTTTTTTTGAAGATTGAAGATCCTTCAGACCCAATAAACCTGGATTTTTAAGAGCATTTATTGAAGACCCAACCATCGAGGATATTAAGAGCCAAAGGTAGACCCATAAGAGATATTATCCGAAGAGCTTTTAGCCACAAAAACCGTGGATTTTGAGGAATAGTTCTGAAAACTCAGAAAAAGAAGTGTAGTTTAGGATTTTAAAAATGCTTTTAGATATTCTTCAGACCCCTCAAAAATTTTTGTTCAGAATATTTATTAAAGACCCAACAAACGTAGATTTTTCCATAATATTTTAAGGCCTCTCAGAGCAATTAAACGTGGATTTTAAAAAATATTTTTGAGGACCCTTCAGAGCCAACGTGGATTTTTAAAAATATTTTTTGAAGACCCTTCAGGGCCAACTTGGATTTTTAAAAATATTTTTCGAAGACCCTTCAGAGCCAATGTAGATTTTTAAAAATAATTTTTGAAGATCCTTCAGAGCCAGGATTTTAAAAATATTTTTTGAAGACCCTTCAGAGCCAACGTGGATTTTTAAAAATATTTTTGGAAGATCCTTCAGAGCCAACGTGGATTTTTTAAAATATTTTTGAAAACCCTTCAGAGCCAACATGGATTTTAAAAAATATTTTTTGAAGACCCTTCAGAACCAACATGGATTTTTGATAACAATTTTTGAAGACACTTCAGAGTCAATGTGGATTTTTAAAATTATTTTTTAAGACACTTCAGAGCCATTCGACGTGAATTTTTAAGAAAATATTTTAAAGACCCTTCAGAGCCAACGTGGATTTTTAGGAATATCCAAAAATATTTTCTGAAGACTCTTCAGAGCCATTAGACGTGGATTTTTAAAAATAATTTTTGAAGACCCTTCAGAGCCAACGTGGATTTTTAAAAATATTTTTTGAAGACCCTTCAGAGCCAACGTGGATTTTTAAAAATATTTTTTGAAGACTCTTCAGACCCATTAAAAGTGGATTTTTAAAAATATTTTTTGAAGACCCTTCAGAGCCAAAGTTTTTCAGGCGGATTTTTAAGAAAATTTTAAAGATCCTTCAAACAAAAGAAAGACAAAAGAAACTTGTATTTTAAAGGAAATATTTTTAAGACCCAAACGTTAAATCTTAAGAATATGTGGAAGACCCTTGCAGGTCGAATGAACAAGGACTTTCAAGACCCCTGAGACCCAACTAAATATGGAGTTTTAGAAAATATTTTTAGAGACCATTTAGCCCCAATAAAAATGGATTTTGAAAATATTTTTATGAGCCGATTTCTTAATTATTTTTCTTAGAAATCTTAGAGCCAAAAAATATATTTTGTAATATCTTTTAAAAAAAGATTTTTGGAAGATCATTCGAACCTAACAAGTGATTAAGTTTTTAATTTCAATATCGAAAAAGTTTAAAAATCTGAAAATTGGTGTGAAGGGTTTCGTCGTTATTTGAGGGACTCATCACCCATACTTCCTGTGACTTTAAAAAGATTCTCCCCATCTGAAGAATGTCTTTCTACTCACAACTTTTTCTTGAAAACCGACTGAAATCTGTCTCTAAAAAACATATTCCTCATTTCTGTTGAAAAAGCGTTTCATCATTTATTTCCTCATGGAAAATTATCAAGGAAATTCTCAACATTATCTCCGTGATTAAAAATTTATAAAGCCAATAATCATCTGTTTTCAATATTTCAGCTGGTTTTCGTGGAAGTTGTAAAGAAATATTTCCACTTGGAAAAAAATTGCTTCCCCTTAACCTCAATGTCAACAATTTTTTACAAGAAATACTCATGCACTCATATTATGTGCCCAATTAAGTAGCAGAGCCTACTCGTATGTATTCCGGTTTGTGAATATTTTTTTTTTTTTTTTGACACGTTGTTAACAATTTATTTTTTATACAAAATTCAATTTTCTTCAGCTAGACCCTTAACCTGCGCAGGCAATTTATTGGCTCGTGTTTTTTAATGATATTATATTCTTTGTTACGTAGGAAAATAATATATTTTTTGGTAATCACAAAATAATTTATTTGCAATTTAAAAAATGGTCATTATTCATGTTTTTTAAATGCCCGAAAAATATTTGAAATAAATTCTTGTACGTCATAAGTCGTATAGAAAATATTTTAATTTTTTAATTCAAAAAAACATTGACACATCGTCATCTGTTGAAGAACTCTAGGTTTTATAAATGTCTACAAGAAACAAACAAAAGGAATTTTATCTTCAGAAATTCTATTGATTTGTATATGTTTATATAAGATCCTTTACAGGACATGTAGGAATTTTGGAAGATTTTTTATCCCGAGAATGAAAAGTTTTTAGAATTTTTTTTATTTCTTAATGGTTACAATAGAAAATTATTTCGAAACACATTGCGATGGTCTATCAAACACAATATCTTGAGTTTTGAAAAAATTAGAAAAAAAACTTGATTTTTTGGATAAAATATTTTTTGAATCGGAAATATGTTAGGAATATATTCGAAGGATATTTAGTAAGAATCAGAGTCCAGTTTTTGAATAATTTTAAAGGACAGAGCCGATAAGAAGGGATAGAACATTTGACGTCAAGTCCAATAATATTGAGAATTTTCAAATATTGTTCAGATGCCACAAACTTGAATTTTTGAGGACCTCTAGAGCACTAATTGCAATTTTTTTATTTTTTGGAGAGATTTAGGAGCCGATTTTAAAGCCAAGATGCGTCCACTCCTGAAACAAATTTTTCGGAGACTTTCAATGATAAAAATGTTGATTTCTCAAAGAAAAAAAACATATAAAACGCCTTCAAAGATATAAAAAAATAAAGAAGAAGAAATTTTATAAAAGGTCTTCTAAGCCAAAAAAAAAAAAAAAAAAAAAAAAAAAAAAAAAAAATTAGAGAACAAAAGAGAAATTCTCCAAGCCAATTGTTTTTAGAACATTTTTGAGAGACTTCTCTAATTCAACAACCGTGGATTTTACAGAAAAATTTTTATGAAGTGAAGTAAGAAATTAAAATAAGTAAAAAATAGCTAAGTTCAGCCAGGCCCTCCAACATTTCGAAGGAACTTGAAAAATTTAAAAAAATCCGAAAACTACCACTTAAATGAAAATCGTTATATGGAGACTTTGCGAAGACCGGCTTACGAAATTTGTTGCCATAGGCTGTAGTACCCATTAAGAACTTTAAATATGAAATTTGAAAAAGTTCCAGTTAATAATGTCGCTAACATCATTATAATTTAGAACATCGGGAGGTACCGTTATATGGGAGACATACGAAAACGTAAATATGCACACGCAATTTTTTACATAGGTTGTAGTACCCATTGCGAACTTTAAATACGAAATTTTAAATAATATGGCTAAAATCATGAAAATGTCGAATATTGGGAGGTACCGTTAAATGGGGGCTATGCGAAAACGTGAACCGACATGGCCAATTTACGGACTAAACCTGTCAACTGGTAAATTATGTACAATTTTAGCCTTATATCTCAATTCGTTCGAAAGATAACGTGATTACAACATACAGGCGACCAGACAGACACACAGACAGACGAACACCGCTAAATCGTCTTAGGATTTTACGCTGATCCAAAATATATGTACTTTGTAGGGTCTATTATGAATATTTCGGGAAGTTACAAACGAAATGACAAAGCTAATATACCCTCCATAGAATGGTGGAGGGTATAAACCAATTTAGACCTCAAATAAATTTATGAAGCCTTAAAAGTTATTAGTTTTGGATTTTTGAAAAAAATGTTGAAGAAGCCAAGAAACTTGATTTTTTAAATACTTATGAGAGAGATTCACAGGCCACAATCGAATATTTTAAAATGCAAATTTAAAAGGGCTTAGTTAAATTGGTTTTAAGGCAATATTTGACGAAGACAAAAAAGTGGATTTTTAAAAAATTTTTGAGAGACCTTCAAAACTAATTCTTTGATAGAATTAAGTTTTAAGAAAATATCATTCTGAAAAATATTGATGTTGTATTTAAAACCAGTATCATAAGAATTTTGAAGAGCCTTTTATAAATATTTGAAAAAAAATGAATATTTGATTTCTAGGTGGCGTTGGTATACACATTTGTTCCGCTTAATACAAATTTGGCAATTTTAACGACCCTACAGGAAAAAATCATTCCGGAATAGGTTCTTGGGTCTTGGCATTTCTTTTCTGCATTTATTCGTATTTTTTCTTCGATATTGCATTAAGAAACCACATATATTTTCAATGCTATTTGTTGATATCTGTATCCGCCATCTATATTTCATTTACAAATCATTATCATAAACAAAGCATATATTTAGGAGCCTACTAAAAATCGATTCAAAACATAATTCGAAGAGTCATTTGTTATATAATCAACTACTACTACTACTACAATTTTGAAGAGCCTTTTATAAAGTATATGAAATATTTCATATCTAGATGGCGTTGATGTACTCATTTTGTTCCAAGTGAAGCAAAATTGACACTGTGTGGGTATATTGACAATTTTAGCGATCCTATTGAAAAAATTGAATTGAAAATCTCTTCTGTCGAACGCCATATATTCCTTAATAACCAAATTGCTGAAAGACTTTTAACACAAAAATTGTTTGAAAGAAATCAAGAATTTCTTGAGAGGAATTTTGTTTTAACAACTTCTTAAATGGCATTAAGCTTTAAACTTTAGTATTAATTATTATTATTAATTATTATTTTTAAATTATTTTGTAAAAGTTAATTTTATAAATTGGCGTTACTTACCATTGCTTGCTCGATTTTATTATCGATGGCAACTGCACTTGTTCCAGATGCACTGAAAATATACAAAAATAGGGAATATTATTAATATGATGCTTATAGATAATCATTTTTAAAAACAGAACATTATCGATGTCATATTTATAAAACAATCCAACCCACATTAGCTCATAAATACTATTTTAAGTGTCTATAAAATGTAAGTTATCTGGAACAATTTTTTCGCCATTTAGCAATTTCATTAGGTTGATTGCCGTCATAAACTTCAAATGGTTTATGGCCCCCATCAATTGGCCATTTCAAATTGAAAATAAAATGGAATATACTTTATGGGAGATAAAACAAGAAAACAACATTTAAGTTTATTGCCTACTTTAAGGAGTGCCTAAACAATGTTAATAATTATTTTTTCTAGAAATCATGAAAAGATAGTTCACTTTTAAAAAGTAAAGGAGTTAAATAGTGATTGAATGAATGTTACCATCATACAAAACGACTAAAGTTAGGAAGGGAAAATTTGACATAAAAAGGTCACTAGTTATGCAAAGGTTCGGAATGAAGAGGAAATTATAAAAATTCGTCGAATAAGGTTTCGTTAAACACCAAACATAAATTTGATAGGGCGCCATCTTTATGTTGATATTTACAAAATCCATTTTGACTGAAAGATAATTCGATTGTCAAGGTGGCGTTCGTTGCAGTTATGTATTCTTCTCATTAAATATCAGCATGCAAAGAAAGGTGGATTTTCCATGTCAAGAGATAAAAAAATAGGGAATTTCACTATTTTGCTAGAACAAGAATCCTTTTATATTTAAATTCCTATTTTTATTCTAAAATAAAATTAAATATTATGTCAAATTATAAATTGCCATCTGGATGTTGATATCGTTTAAACGATATTTAAATGCAAAATGATTAGCATACTTTGGGGCTGATAAATTAGACTAACGAGATAACCTAACCGGTTTTTATACTCTCCACCATATATAGTATGGAGGGTATATTAAGTTTCTCGTTCCGAAAGTATACATATTTTTGATCGGCGTAAAATTCGAAGACGATTTAGCCCTGTCCGTCCGGCCATCTGTCCGTATGTTGTAACCACGCTAGAGTCAAAACGAATAAAGATAGGAAGCTAAAATTTTGCACAGATCAGTTTTTTGTCTTCAGGCAGGTCAAGTTCGAAGATGGGCTATATCGGTCCACGAGAACGTATAGCCCCCATATAAAGGTACCCCCGATATTCGGTATTTTGATGATTGTAGCCAAATGTTTCAATGAAATTGTTTGAAAATCCACAAACGGAGTTCTTTCCGAGTACTTTACACCCTGGAAGAGTTTCGTCTACATAGGTCCACGATATCGTATAGCCCCCATATAACGGTACCTCCCGATATTCGGTATTTTGATGATTTTAGCCACATTTTTTAAGGGAGTTGTCTGAAATTCTACACAAGGAGTTCCTTGTGGGCACTTTACCCCCTGAATGAGAATTGTCCATATAGGTCATTGATATCGTATAGCCCCCATATAACGGTACTCCCCGATATTCGGTATTTTAATGATTTTAGCCACATTTTTCAATGGAATTGTTTGAAATTCCACACAAGGAGTTCGTTGTGAGTACTTTACCCCCTGGAAGAGTATTGTCTATATAGGTCCACGACATCATATAGCTCCCATACAACGGTACCCTCCGATATTTCATATTTTGACGATTTTAGCGTCATTATTCACCGAAATTGTTTCAAATTTCGTATTTGAAATTCCTAATGGATACTACATCCTAAGACAGAAAATGAGCCATGTAGGCCCACGTCTTTATATAGCCCCCATATAAAGCTACCTCCCGATATTCGGTATTTTGATGATTTTAGCGACATTATTTACCGGAATTGTTTCAAATTTGGTATTTGAAGTTCGTAATGAATACTACAGCCTATGACAGAAAATTGTCTGTGCAGGTCCACGTCTTCGTATAGGCCCCCATATAAAGGTACCTTCCAATATTCGGTATTTTGATGATTTTGGCGACGCCGTAGTTCTTTCAAATTCCGTATTCAGAGTTCGTAATGGGAACTACAGTCTGTGAGAGAAAATTGTCTATACAGGACCAGGTCTTCGTATAGCCCCGATATAACGGTACCTCCCAATATTCGATGATTATGGATGATTTTAGCTACATTATTCATTATTCCAATTTCTTTTCAAGTTTCGTACTTGAATATTGTAAAGGCTTATGACAAAAGTTGCCTATGCAACTTATATAGGGGTCGTATAGACCCCTATATAATGGCTATAATCGGCATTTTTAATATTTTAACAGAATTTTTTATTTATTTATTATTATTATTTTTTTTTTTTTTTTGAGAATTTCAAAATTCGTTCCAAATGATTTTTTACTTCTTTTTGTTTTAATAAAATAATAAAAGGAATCTGAAATTATTTTTAAAAAATTAAAACAACGTTTCTTGATATTTCAAAACAATTAATCAAAAATAGCGCCATCTTGATGTTAAGAAACGGGTAGTTTAGGATAACTTTGGGGTGACAAATAAAACTGGATTATGAAAATAGCAATCAGTGACCGAAAACTACTTTTTTTGAATTTTCTGGACTAATATTTCTCAGACAACAACTGGAGGTTCAATCCACATCAAGATGGCGCCCAATGTGAGATTTAATAGCCATTTAATTTCAATTAAATATTTTGATGAAGATCAACAGCAAAGGAGCAAGAAATGTTGAGAAATTATTTAATACTAAAATCTGGAAGAGGCACACTTTCCCAAAATCGTACCTTAAGACCCCTTCGTAAGTCCAATTTTTCCTTCTAAAATAATTGAATAATTCCCAACATTTCTTATTACATAAAAACAATTTATTCCATAACAACAATTTGTTATTGCAACTATTTCCATTGTTATATGAAAAAGCCATTATTAATTTTCCGCGCCAATGTTGCAACCAACAACAACAATTTGCACAATTAATTTGTGTGAAATGCAAGAAAAGTCAACCAAAGCAAATGAATAAAAGAAAGAAAATAATAAAAACAAAATTACTGCCATCAATTTCCTTAATTATTTTAATATTATTTTTGCGCTTTTGTTGTAGTTGTTGTTATTGTTGGCTATTGCATATAATTATGTTGTTGCCAGTTAAGCTGTCATGTAGCTGATGATTGTCAGCGAACGACGACGACGTCGTCATGTTTTCACATCAATCTTATTTTTTGTTTTCCATGTCTCCTTGCTTTCTGGAATGAAAATGTAAGTGTGGCAAAGTTGTTGTTGTTTTGTGTACAATTTTCATGTACAGTAACAACAACAACAACAACAGCAATATGGACATGGTTGTTGGCCATAAACTATTATGCAAGTCATTGATGAAAACTACATCATCATCATCATAAGGAGCAGCCACCACAGCAAAAGACGACAGCAGCAACATCACCACCAATCAGTTGAGACCGACCCGGTTTTTTGTGAAGTAGAAATAAAAAAAAATATAAAAATGAAAACAATTTTTTTGGGTTGGCAAAAGAGTTACTGGAATACTCTATATTTAAAAACAAGTAAAAAAGCTTCGGCCGGCCCGAAATTTGAATACCCTCCACCATTTAGAACAAATTTGGAAATTTTCAAAAAATAAAATTCTTAAAAAATTCTATTAACATCTTAAAAATACCGAATGTAACCGTTATAATGGGGTCTATACGACGTGGACCTACATAGGCATTGTTTTTCATAAGCCATTACCATATTCAAATTCGAAACTTGAAATAAACGGTGAATAATGCAGCATCATCAAGCAATCATCAAAATTTCGTATATACGGAGGTACTGTTATATAGGAGCTGTACGAAGTCTTGGAACAGCATAGACAATTTTCTGTCGTAGGCTGTAGCATCCATTACGAACTTCAAATACGACATCTCAAACAATTTCGGTGAGTATTGTACCTAAAATCATTAAAATACCGAATATCATCAATACCGACAATTTTCTGCCTTAGGCTGTAGTATCCATTACGAACTTTAAATACCAAATTTGGAACAATTCCGGTGCATAATGTCGCTAAAATCATTAAAATACAGAATATTGGGAGGTACTGATATATGGGGCCTATACGAAGACGTGGACCTGCACAGACAATTTTCTGTCGTAGGCAGTAGTATCCATTACGAACTTCATATATCAAATTTGAAACAATTCTGGTGAAAAATGTCCCTAAAATCATTAAAATACCGAATGTCGGGAGGTACCGTTATATGGGGGCTTTAGGACGAGGTGGACTTGCACATACAATTTTCTGTCATAGGCTGTAGTATCCCTTACGAACTTCAAATATCAAATTTGAAACTATTCCGGAGAATAATGTCCCTAAAATCATCAAAATACCGAATTTTAGGAGGTACCGTTATATGGGGGCTATGTGATAACGTGGACCTACATGGCCCATTTACGAACATAATCTGCCTATTGACAAAATATACGTGTGTGCAAAATTTTAGCATTCTATCTCAATTCGTTTGAAAGATAGCGTGATTACAACAGACAGGCGGACTTGGCTAAATCGTCTTAGAATCTTACGCTGATTAAGAATTTGTTGGGTCTGACATGAGTATTTCGAGGAGTTACAAACGGAATGACAAAGTTAATATACCCTCCATAGTATGGTGGACGGTATAAAAACAGAGAATAATGCAACTGAGCACATATGCATTTAATGTTTCCAGTTCAGATCTGATATGTCGACCGCCATCTATATCTGAGTAATCAGACTGCCATTTTGGACAATATCAATCCGTAGTTTTAAATGTGTAATGAAAGGTTAAGAACTCTTTTAAGAAATATAATGTCAAATATATAATCTCTCTAAAAAATATGAGATTATTCCGCTTATAGATGGCGCAGGTATGCACATTTTGTTCCCATAATTAAAATTGACCCTGTTGGGGACATATCGATAACATGAAAAATATATGGACCTGGAATACAACTTCAGACTGCTGTCATTTCTAAGCCACTCGTCCGAGAGCTGTTAAAA